TGGGGGTTATATTGGCAATTATGAAGATTTAAGGGTATATTGGCAATTATGAAGATTTATGGGGTAAATATGCAATTGGAAGATTTTGGGGGTATATAGCCAAATAATCCATGTTATTCTTGCTGACTGTTACTCCAATTCACTTTCCTCATCAACTGTAGCACTTAATCACTATGACTATTGGCTGAAACATCCTGTTACATCTCCTCAATCAGTGGAGATTGTATCAACCTCGCTCGCTATTCCTACAAACGGAATGATGAAACGAGGAAATCTCGAAATAAACTTAGTATCATATTTTTGGTATGACAATTGTTTTAAAGAGAAAATTTGCTTTCTTGTCCTTTAATTCTTCTTTTCTTTTTCCCGTATAACTTTATAATGATGTAATAATCTGGTGGTTTATCCTCTTTACCTAAAATCCAAATTGGAATACTATTGGAACAATATGATGTCTACCACTGTTACCTTCTTTCATATGCAAATGCCTAGGCAGAAGAAAATACTCGTTCCAAGCCATGAATTTACTACATTAACATTTTGATGTGATCTTCCTTTCATCTATTGGTGTTTGCAAGATCCGCATACCTGATCCTCTACACGATTTTGCTTTTTGAGTAACAGGGACAAAATGCCCGGCAAATTTATTAAGCCGATAAAATGTTGAAGGCTAAGATTGTTTACAACTGAGATTGTTGGAAAGTAATAGTAACTATCTACCTGCTACAATAACTACCAACCACTGACCCACCAATCGTTACTGTAGCAACAATGCACACCTATCACAAAATCACCTACATATAGCCACCCTAGCCTTAAGTTGAGGTCATCCTAGTAGCAAACGGCTGGGAGGGGGGAGGGGATTCTCCTTATAAAGAGAAATTGTAACTCCTAAATTTTACTCATAGTTCTGCCGGTGGTTTTTACCCCAAATTTATTTAGGGGTTTTCCACGTAAAAATCTGTGTTTTCAATTTTATTATTTCCACACTATTATTCACTACGACCCTGCTCTATCGGGCCCCGGGTTTGTCCCAACAGAAAATAGATACATAACATTCATGAAGAGTAAAGGAAAAAAGAGCAAGAAATACAGTTCGGAACTTGATTGTTTTTCGCATCTTCCATTTGATGGAATGTTTTGCATGCTTTTTGATGTATAATGCTGAGCGATGAGCGTTGTCCTGACCATTGTATCATTCAGTTGGACCCAATGGGGTTGAGAATATTTACTGTATATAGCAACATAACATCTCTGGATCCCATGTAAACATAACTCTTAAGCAAATCAAACTTCATTTTGATTTAATCATCATAATGCCAAGATCTTAGAACAAATGATTATCACTATGAACAACTAATTAAGGAAAACGTACCTTGATCCATGATTTGAAACTTGAAGAGAAATTGATTCAAAGATGTACAACCTTGAAGACTTGCGTTTCTCTCTCTCAACCCTCTTAAAATATTCCGAAAATTTGTTTGATGGAGAGAAATTTTCACACTCATAGGTAGAGAGAGGACCAAGTCTTTAAATAGAGAAATACTCATACTCCATCCATCAACATGAGTAGTTGTCTTAATTGACCAATAGGAATTAGGCATAAAAACATGATTAGTTATGTAACTAAATAAAACATGAATATTTTCTTAAACTAACAAAAACGTGAGAAAGTTAACTTGACCACTAAAGGTGGTTTTGCAAAATGTGGGTAGTTACAAAATAGTGGGAAATATGGGCCACAAAATTCTAACACCCTCGTATCGTATGCGAAACTAGAGGCTTTGCAATGTGAAATTTAGCTTAATTCTACTGGGAATTCTCCTCTTTTAGTCTCGTGAATGTTTAATTTTCTAATTCCTGTTGGCTCGCTAATCTTTGGTTCTTTGTTGTTTTCTGCAGAAGAGGTATGAGGATATTTCTGTATTTGGGACAAAGGCAATCTGAATGATGAGCTTTGAGCTAGAGTTTTCCGAGAGCTTGAAATGTTTCTAACTTGTTACAGTTTATGCATGAACTGTTTCTTTGTCATTGAATAAGCACATAAGCTGCTCTAAAAGATTTGCGTCTGAGCCTTTGGCATAATTCTATTTTGTTCGTCTTTCTTGTGATTGTAGAATGGCATGAGCTCTGAGGTTTTCCATCCCTTTTCATTTTTTATTGCGGTCAATATACAGCAGTAAGATCATGGGCCACTAACCAGGCCTATGAGCCATCTTTTCCATCATCTCAAGGATGCATTCTTTATTTCTCTAATGGGAGGATATTCTTTCATGATCTTAAATTTATCTTGTTTTGTAATTTCTCCAATCGCGTGAAGGTTTTGAGAAAAAGGTTTTCAGATGTAAGCTGAGAAAACCTTCCTGATTTTTTTTGTTTGATTAGGGAACTTCCTCACGATTCTTCGAGCCATGGATATCAAATCCCATGGCACGGCTAAGGGACACCGTCAATGCACAGCCTTGGGACGTCGGGTATACGAGGAAAATAAATTCCTGTAAGTGCACCTCTTGAGAGTCGAAACTGAAACCTTGGCATACTACACATAGGCAGCTTACTGACCTAGTAAACCCTCTTTAAACCCTCTTGATGCTTACTACAAATGGCAGCCTGCATGACAGTTTAGCTCAAAGCTAGTTTAGGGTTTATATCAGTAAATCTCTTCAAACGCAGAACAAACAAAACATTTATAAAACAAATATGAAATTCGCTTGTCCAACCACTTCTTGGTGGTCGATTAACAAGCAGCCTAAATATCATGCTACAGACAATTCAAGATTAATATGATCATGCAATTTAACAGTTTTGTTGTGCAAACTGTTGCATAGACTCGGTCTAATGGTGACCAAATCAACGTTTGTTTCTCTGTTGAGAGAAACGTGGGAACGTGGAATGGTTTGTTGAGAGGAAATCTCTCATGGGGTGGAACTGAAGGGGGGTGGAGATAGTGGGTTAGCCCCTATAAAAGGAGGGATGATTTCCTTTAGAAAATACAACGAAAAAAAGAAAACCTCTTACCCATTACCGGAGCCCCCCTTCAAAGATATCATCTTTTCTCTTCTCTATACTCGTTCACTGGTATCAGAGCTGGTGGATTAAGATTTTTTTTGAAGAGTAGAGAGAAGCCATCGGTCCAGACCATTGTTGAAGAAGAAGAGAAGCTAGGTTGAAGAAGAAGAACCAGCAGCATTTTTTTTTGAAGAAGAAAGGCCTACTCTTTTATTTTTCGGTCCTAGTGTTCACAACCTACTCTCTTTTATTTCTCTGCCTTGGTTTTTGTTCATAGCCACAGGCCTACACCTATTGTTTACTCTCTTTTCATAGTCACAGGCCTATTGTTTACAAGTTAAACCCACTCACATGTCTACATCCAGCTAGCATATTTTTTTCGGTTTTACTCTTTGAATCCACATCCAGTTAGCAAGCTAGCATTTTTTGTCCTATACAATAAAGTCTACCCTATTCCTTCTTGTCCTACACCAAGCCTACAAAAATCCTTTCTTCAAGTTTTTCCCATCAAAATTCATGAGCCCTCCTATTAATACATCTTCATTAACATTGTTTTGGGCTTTCTTTTTGGGCCTTTGAGTGTTGTGTTTGTTTGCTGGCCCAAATTTAATGACAGTAATTATGATATGTGGCATAGAAAAATAGGATATGCTCTTATTCATGACAACATTGATGATATAATCGAAACCACTGCTCCAACCCTTACTGATAAATCAACACCTGAAGAAAAGAAAGGGTTTGAGCAGTGGAAGTCGAAAGACAAAAAGGCGAATAGTTTTATGCTCATGTTCATGGAAGATAATTTAATCAAAGTTTTTGAAACTTATAAAACTTCCATGGACATGTGGAATGCAATAAAAGAAAAATACGACACTGCTTCTGAAGTTAACATCCAACTACTCTTGCATAAGTATAATTCTTGTCGTATGCAAGAGGGAGACAATGTCGTAGAGCATATAAATAAAATGATTGTCATGGCTAAGGACTTATCCACTGTTGGGACCGAAATCCCGGAAAGAATGCAAGTGGCAACCATTTTGAATAGTCTTCCCCCTTCACTTGCTGTGGCTGCCACCCCATTAAGAATGAATCCTGCCATTAAGTCTGTCACTGATCTTCCTATGCACCTAGCGATAGAACAGGACTTAATAGCCAGTAGGAAGGAACCAGAACTGAATATGGTGCAGCAAGAGCTGAATTATGTCCGCCAGAGGCATAATGCTGGAAGCTATAAAAACCCTGGTTCTAGTAAACCACAACCACGAGGACCGAAATCGCAGCAGTTCAAGAGAAAGAAAGTACCCCGCGGAGCCTGTTACAATTGTGGAAAGTTCGGGCATTTCAAACCCAATTGCCCACAAGGTGAAAAGCAGGAGAATAAGGGAGGCTATAAGCATCCAGAACAAGGGGGTACTAGCAAAAGAGAATTCGTCGGTGTGACGGAATGTAATGCTGTGATGACGGATATCAGTGGTTGGTGGATCGACTCCGGTGCGACTAGGCATATCGCAAAGGACAAGAATGGAGTCGTAGAATTCACCGAGCTGAAGAAAGGAGAACAGAGAATCTATATGGGAAATAATACCTATCTCGATGTAGAAGGTATTGGTTCGTATAGATTGGATCTTGGGGACAGTATTCTTGTCCTCAAAGATGTGTTCTATGCGCCAGGAATTCGACGCAATCTGATCTCTGTTCCCAGCTTGATGAAGAAAGGACTGGAAGTAAGGTTCTATAATAACATAGTTTCTATAGGCAAGAATAATGAAGTGTATGCTATGGGTAAATATGTGCCCGAGCATGAATTATGCATTCTTCCAGTAGTTTGTAATAATTCTGATAATAAAATTTCGAATTTGAACTACTTGTCCTGTTATATTTCTGAATCTGAATTGTGGCATTCTAGACTAGGACATGCTAGTATTTCAAAAATGAAAGAAATTATCAGAATGAACTTGCTTCCTGCACTATCTAATGTTCAATTGCCACCATGTGAACATTGTTTAACTGGTAAAATGACTAGAAAACCTTTTGTTGGCGGACATAGAGCCAATGAACTTTTAGGGTTGATACACTCGGATATTTGTGGTCCCCTAAGTGTCAAAACTCATAGTAATAAAGAATATTTTATTACTTTTATAGATGATTATTCCAAGTTTGCACACGTCTATCTTATATCCAGAAAATTAGAAGCTTTTGACTGCTTTAAGAGATATAAGACAGAAGTTGAAAATCAACTTGGATTGAAAATCAAAATTCTGAGAACTGATAGAGGTGGAGAATATAATTCTAAAGAATTTGAAAGTTATTGTATTCAGCATGGAATTAAAAGGCATACAACAATGCCGTATACGCCATAACAGAATGGTGTTGCTGAAAGAAAAAACAGAACATTATTAAATGTAGTTAGATGCATGTTGTCTCATTCTGGTCTCTCTAAAAACTTTTGGGGAGAAGCATTGTTAACTGCAAACTACATTTTAAATAGAATTCCCACCAAATCAGTTATATCTACACCTTATGAATTATGGAATGGGAGGAAACCTAATTTGAGTCATCTCAGGAAGTGGGGATCTATAGCCCATGTTCTCATTCCATGTCAACTTAGAGATAAGTTGGATTTTAAAACAATAAAGTGTAGATTCATAGGGTATTCAGAAAAGTCAAAAGGTTATAAGTTCTACAATAAAGAAAAAGGTGTCATTGAAAGCAGAGATGCTACATTTCTAGAGAATCTAGAGGAAGAGGAACAAGTTCAAGAGGAAACAGAACCTCTAACTGTAATAGATGATGATTATTACAGTGTTGTTCCCACTAATGACCCTGATATTGTGAATGAACCTAACCTTGAAAATGATGAAATACCTATGGAAAATAATGTACCTAATCAACCGGTTGTAGGCAACAAAAGACCAAGAACACAACCTTCATGGATGGATGATTACTATTTGTATTCATGTGAGTCATCCTGTTTTTCGGTAGATACAAATATAGAAGAACAAGATCCCTTAACTTTTTCTGATGCGATGAAATCGCATGAATCAGCTTCATGGCTAGAATCTATGAGAGAAGAACTTGATTCCATAGAAAAGAATAAGGTATGGGAGTTATGTGATCTACCAGAAAATAGGAAAGCCATAGGATGCAAATGGGTGCTCAAAAAGAAATATCGTGTTGATGGATCTATTGATAAATTCAAAGCACGGTTAGTTGCCAAAGGTTATAACCAGAAGGCAGGAATAGATTTTCAGGAGACGTATTCTCCTGTAGCTAAATTTGCATCCATTAGAATTATTTTGGCTATTGTTGCATATCTTGATTTGGAGTTATTCCAAATGGATGTTAAAACTGCATTCCTTAACGGAGAGTTGAAGGAAGCAATATATATGCAACAACCTGAAGGTTTTCAGGTGAAAGAACAGGAACATAAAGTTTACAAATTAATGAAATCTCTATATGGTTTAAAACAGTCTTCTAGACAATGGTATCTCAAATTTCATGATGCAGTTACTAAACTTGGTTTTATTCAAAATAAATTAGATAATTGTGTATATGTCTTGAAAAGTGGGAGCAAGTTTACTATATTATCCTTATATGTGGATGATATATTGCTCGCTGGAAATGACATAGAAATGTTGAATAAAACCAAGGCAGATCTCAGCGAAAAGTTTGAGATGAAAGACATGGGAGATGCATCATATATTCTTGGAATTCAAATAATTCGAGATAGAAAGTCTAGAATGCTAAGTTTAAACCAAGAAAAATATTTAAGATCAGTTCTTAAAAGGTTTGGAATGGAGAATTCCAATCCGGCACCAACTCCGTTGGTTATGGGAAAGAGATTATGTAAAGAGCAAAGCCCTGGAGAGGGGCAGAAGCCATTAGATGTTCCTTATGCTCAAGCAATTGGAAGCTTGATGTATGCAATGTTGTGCACCAGACCTGATATAGCTTATGCTGTGAGTCTAGTCAGTAGATATCAAAGTAATCCAGGACCAGCACATTGGGAAGCTGTTAAAAGGATTATGAAGTATATCAGAGGTACATTGACTCATAGATTAGTTTATCAAGCTGATTCGCTTGAACTCCTCGGTTATTCCGATGCTGATTTCGGAGGTGATAAAGATGATGGAAAGTCCACTTCGGGACACTTATTTATCTTTGGAGGAGGAGCTGTTTCTTGGAGTAGCAAGAAATAAGGGTGTGTTGCTAGATATACGCAAGAAGCTGAATATATAGCTTGCAGTATGGCAACTACACATGCTGTCTGGATAAGACGGTTTTTGATTGATCTTGATCTCAATTTGTTAGAAGGACCTATTGATATTTATTGTGATAATCAAGCAGCAATTAGCTTAATCAATAGTGGCGCGAATAGCTCCAAAGGAAAACATATTGAGATCCAGTATCACTATATTCGAGATATTGTAGAAAAGGGAGAAGTCAAAGTGACTTATATCCCTACTACAGATATGATTGCTGATCCTTTGACAAAAGGAATACCAGCGGAATCTTTTATCAAACATGTAAGTTTGATGGGACTTAGGAATAAATAAGTTTAAGTAAAATTTCATGAATAATGAAATAAGAGTTACTCTCTACGGATAGTGGGAGTAATAGTAAGCAGAAACATCTGATCTCACGGATAGTGAGAGACATGCCACTTGGTTAATTTGGTCAAGTGGGAGATGTTGCATAGACTCGGTCTAATGGTGACCAAATCAACGTTTGTTTCTCTGTTGAGAGAAACGTGGGAACGTGGAATGGTTTGTTGAGAGGAAATCTCTTATGGGGCGGAACTGAAGGGGGGTGGAGATAGTGGGTTAGCCCCTATAAAAGGAGGGATGATTTCCTTTAGAAAATACAACGAAAAAAAGAAAACCTCTTACCCATTACCGGAGCCCCCCTTCAAAGATATCATCTTTTCTCTTCTCTATACTCGGTTTTTTGCTTTTTATTACAGGTGTTAAGAATCCTAGTTCTCATTTGAGAAAAAAAGTCGAAAATGATAGCTACCTTAAGAATAACATTAGAACTTAAAGAAATTATTACAACAATAGCGCGTACAAAAGTGAAACATTTCTACAACAACCCGAGCCATGTGCAAAAAACTGACCGCAGTGTCTTTGTCAATGTCTGGAAGTGCCCTGGCAGCCAGCAGCTGTCTGTTGATAAAATTATGGTGATATTAACAGAAATTGTACAAATGGAGAGTGAAGCCCTGCTGCTTTCTGATTTACGCCTTCAGTAACCAGCACACTTCCTGGTTAGGGTATTATGGGGCAGCAGCAGCAAAGATAGTTTGATGATATGAAGGATAAAACAGTGTTGTCATCAATCCGATCTCTCAAGTTCTCTGAATCTCCGATCCCATTCTCTAGCCTCAAAATCTTGGTCTGAAACATCTTTTTCTGTACTGTAGACTATCCTCTCTGAACCAATAACAGTTCGACGTGCCATCTCTCTAGCGCTGGAAAGCTGATAAACAAAGTGCAAAGGTTACAAGAGAATTATCTTTACTCTAAAATTATATAGGCCATTTTAGACTGGAAACTATGCAATTATGCACACATAATCAAAATTCTACCAAAATGTGCCAAATGTGAAGATGAACCAATCACTTCCAGAGTATTGCGGTTGTAGAACCACAGTTCATTGTGTTTGGTTATGAGCAATATAAAAGCAGGTAGCATGTTCAACTCGATGGATACTATCCATAATTTAACTCTACTTACTGTATTTCGGCACTCATACCAACCATGTAATTGGTGGCTTTTATCCACTTGAATACTTCTTTAAGTCGTAAGCTCTCTTCTATCTGTTATATATGTACTTCTCCGGGTCCCATATTACTTTACTTACTCTTTAAATAAATTTGAGCCAAGGCTCTTATCCTTCTAAACAAAGAAAAAGAAAAAGTAGAATGTAAACATCTTCCTAACCAAAATCCATAAAATTACCTTCCTTCTGAGAGATGAATCAGGCAATTCAAGGGCTCGAGCTTGTTGTTTTCTACCCAGATTGCGTTTTTCAATATCTGCATTCCTTTTACGCAAGAGGAACCATCGGAACAAGGGTATTGCAAAGAACGAAGCAGCATAGACCTGAGAATAAAGGTTGTCTTGATGATATGAATAGAACTAAAAAGATGCCAAGTATACAAGAATTGTAAGGTACTTATTTTATAAAGAATGTACTAATATTGGTTACAGCCACAACAAATCTAATTATTCCTAGGATTTTGTACAGTCAGCATGCATTTCTGAAATGAGTTACACTTGCATAAGAGTGAAATTTGATTTATAGATTCATAACCACTGTTTGTGCATGTGTTTGGTTTGTTTTCCCCCTCCTCTTTCTGGTGGTGTTGGTGGTGGGGTGTTCCAAAATGTTGCAAACATGAGAAGAATAATAAGAATGGTATGGAAGATTTAAAGAGGTTGTTTACAAAATTTTGGAACAAAATGTGATTCGCTTTTGATATGAAATAACAAGACATTCATTTCTTGTGCAGAACAAGATGCAAGGATTTATTACGAGATGAAAAGGGTGCTATAGAAAACAAATGAATTCTCATTTCATGAATCAATAAGGATGAAGCCCTTGTGAGATGCATGCTGCTGAGGGCAGTCAAATTTCTGTGCACAGTAATTTGTCAACGAGTATTCAAAAAGAAAGTAACTAAGACAATCAGAACACCAATGATACAGTTAGTATTAGAAATATTTTGGAATATGACAGTGGTAGGAGATTACATTGATTTAATATGGCAACTAAACCTACCTGGAGTAGAGGAAATATGTCAGCAACAAAAGAAATAAAGCCAGCGGGTGCTATTGCAGTGTTCCTTCAATTTAAAACACCAAGAGTAATTACTAGATATAAAAGAAAGACAGAATAATAAGTAATAGTAGGACAACAAATTCAGTACTTTAACATGCTGCCCAGAACAACAACTCCAAAAAGATTGAGTGCTCCCAGTCCTATAACCATTCCTTTCTGCGATGATCCAGCTTTACTGCAAAACACAAGTTTTATGAGATGAAATAGAACACTTAAGGTAATCCACTTACAAATTTAAAAGAAATCTCTATGAATTATAGCGGCTAATCACAGCATAAAGGTTGCAGAATAATTTCGTGGAATGATGGTCAATACTAAAATGGAATGATGGTGAATACTAAAATTAACCTGAAGGAACATTTAAAGATTTCTAAAGCAAAGATGGTACATACAAATACTAACCTGAAGGACCATTTCTTCTCCTCAAGATACTTCCCAACTCCATCAACCCACTCAGCCCACTTTTCCCTACATATTCCTTTCGCCCAACCCTTTGGGATGAAGCAGTACGCTGCAAGGATGGAAAGCAATATAGGATGTTTCCCTACAATAAGAATAAGATATACTGTGAGAAAAGTGTACATCCTAGTCAACAAAGATAGTTCTATGCTAGTAATAATAGTCCTCTTTTCATGTCTATCAAACAGGTAAGACAAAATATTGGAGCTAGTGATGGCAGAGATAATGTAGAAGCGTATCACTTTCATGTGAGTCCACATTCATGCTTACTGGTTTCATGCCCTTTTATACTTCAAATATTGGCAAGAATATTCACAAACCTCATCATCCACTTCTGGATGCCCATCGAAGCGTAATAATACAGGTAAGACGTATGAATCAACATCCTGCTCCTGTACAGAGGAAGGAATAAGTTAATATTAAAAACCAGTACCATGAAAAGAAATTCAGCTGAATGTTATGAGGTACATACATAGAAGTATTTAGACATAAATTCTCAGTAGAAAAGATATAACAACCGTTCATGTTTATGATACGGTAACTAGGAGAAACAGTTTGCACACCTTTTTGTCTTCTATAGGCATAACATCCAGATATGGAGCAAGCTCCTCAGCAGTGACAACGCCACCTTTTGAGGCAATATATTGTCCAATCTGCCAGAACAGGCTTAAAAGCTTAATGCAAGAAAAGAAAAGATTATAGATTTCTTTGGTTATAAATGTTGGCACACAAAGATGCTGACCAAAAATAGAATATTTTGTTCAAAAATCAAGGCTAGGGTCCTAGTTAGTAGTAAGCTAAGTTGCATGAGTACGGGTATGGGACACGGCAAATTTGTAAAAGGTAGGGTATGGGGACACGGCTATAAATATGTATGTTACATATTTTATATAATTATATGTATTAAAATTAATAATTTACATAAAATGAATATTGTTTTTCATTTATATAAGATCAATATATTAAAAATAGATGTGAAGTATGGAATATACATCCAAGAAGTGTACAATGAGTGTTCTAAATTAAAACATGTATATAATTGAGTATATGCTCGAACAAATGTATGCATATATTCAAGAAGTATCAAAGAAGTTTGGGTAGGGGTATGGGTATGTGTAAGGTATGGGTACGGCTTCCAAATAGAAGTACACAGGCAACAGGTAGTAAGGAATACTTTGTTCAAGTCAAGCCTACAACATTTGTTATTACAATGAAATGATTTCAACATAATGCACTACAGTGGGCACTATAAAGGCAAAAATCAACAGACTCATAACAAATCCGGTGATATTATAACAAGACAAAGCATGAAATTTTCTGAATTTTTATCCAACTCTCTTCACAATTCCACGCCGTGGCGGACGTATATGGGGGCCAAGGGGTCCTTGGCCTCACCTTGGAAATTTTAAAGAAACAAGGAGTATAGATTAGTTGAAATTTATTAAATTAAAAGGTTAAGATTTAAAGCCCTCAAAAGCCAAAACTTTGTCAAACAAAATCATTCCTGTTGGGTTTCTTTTGACAAAATTTTGAGGGCTTTAAAATCAATAATTTAATAAATTGTAACTAACCTATATCCCTTACTTAAAATTTTAGATATGCATATATTTTATCATGCTATAGTCATAAAATGATTTCTTAGAGGAAACTGAGTATCTTCTACCACCGGGAGTGAGGGCGACTCAATCAAGGAACAATATCGTAAATTAATCTACGTATCTTGTACTATCGGGGTTGAGGGTGAACACGACCAACACCATCAATTGTGATGGTCATGAAATAGTTTCAAGAAATGAAGGAAAGAAGAATGCTACTAAAAGACTATAGTGTAATTGGAAATATGATTTTAAAAGTCTTGTTATGTAATAAAGCTTAAATGCTAATCAAGTGTGAAAAAAATTACATAATCATGTTTAGTTATTTTTTGGACCGTCCTACCGATATTCATCACTATGCCACTGCCCCCGCGCCGGAGATAAAATAGCTATCGATCATGGGGGGTTGATCAATGCTCATTAGAATACTGGGCAGATCTTGCTCAAGGTCTGAGTTTTTTAATGTCATTTGGAACATTGCAATGTTGCTTCCGTAGGGATTAATTTGCAAGATAGTTGCAACTCTTTGAAGAGTTTTTTAACATGTGATCTTTTGCCCCCCCCCCCCCTTCCTATTTTGCAAAATGGACCAACTGGGATACAAATGGAGGAGGTGATAAGCTAAGTTTGTTTCTATAACTTTAGTTCCCTTTTTTGCAATATGTAGTTATTAGCTCCATTTATTGTGAACGAGTGTATTCATGGAGGAATTATTTGCTGCTCTCATCCATGACATTTAGTGTGCGCACCAAATGATACCAACAATTGGATCACTGGGTCCTAGTAATTGTGCAATGATTCAAAGTTGGTATTCTTTGGTTTATCATTAATATCATCAACCGAGACCATTGGCTATTTTCTTGTATTCATTGATAATCTGAAGAGAGGAAGGAATAATCAAAATTTATTTATTGAAAAACAAATAATCAGTGATTACATAGTTGCTTTTTTATTACTGTATAGTATGGTGGTTGTATCTTGAAACCCCGCCCCCAAAACAAAAAGAACGAAAGAAAAAAACTATTCTGCATATTTAATTATCAATGCCATAGGGATCTGCTCTAAACTCATACTACCGACTAGATAAGGCAGATCTTTGTGCAATTTTTAAAATATATAAACAAATCCTATTATGAATATTTAATAAGTACCAATGATGGGAACAACATGTTAATTTTGACGAACAACCTAATGAGGATGACAAGATCAAGCATTGTTGGTATATGCTTTCCCTGACCGATAGAAGCCGTGAAGAGAAACAAAACCAAATATCATTTCACAGAATCAGACTAAATAAATATAGGTATAAACAAGGGTGTTGCAAAGTGCGCGGAGGGGTAGGGTAGGGTTGGGGGACCACATTAAAATTACACAATAATGCTTCATGATAAGAGGGAACTCCATTGATGTATGGCGTATCAAAGTAACTTATCAGCATAATTCATAATGAGGTTGACACACAAGATGAGCATCAACCAACACGATAAACAAATTTGGGAGTTGGTGGGGTAGGGAGAATTAATTCAAACCGCTGCAAAGTACTGGTAATTTAATAAAATTTTCCGACAATATACCAGTATGAAAACCTGCTCCAAAACAACAAAATAAACTTCAAACAGTCGACTGCGAGAAAGATGTGACTTGCACCTTTTTGAAATGCAATATGCACCTGTATTTAACGGATTATATGTTGCCTGGATTTTTCTCTTCTATCTATTATATCATTTAGATATTGTACCATGTATCATGACTCTTAAGAAAACCTACACTAAACAAGCAAAAACACGATATGGAATATGCTTGGAACAAGAAAAACAACTATCTACAACGAGGAATGTCGAAAACGCATTTGATACCAGTTTCCACCTCTCCTCTTCAAGTCCTTGATTTGGATCTCCGTCACCAAACACAAATGAAAAAACCTGAAGGAAACATGAAATATGTAAAATTATCGCTATTTTTAAAGGAAGAATATGCTGAAGTATTGAACAAATCATTCAACCCTTTCATATTACAGATTCAATAAAGTTCATTCCATCATTTTTTCTGATTTGCTGCCTCCTGTAGTAGTATGGATCCCAGTACCTGCAAATGACAGTAATCTTAGATACATAATCTACATA